AACTTTTATGACCTTTAACGAATTTGAAAGTAAAATGAATGTATAGAATGTAATCTGACTACAAAGTGATTGGATGTAATCTAGATTAAAGAAGTATCTGTAATATAAAGAGAATAGATATAGTCCAACTCTTGCAAAGGGTACTCCATCCCTCACCTTCAACATCAATGATCCAGACTCCAAGAGACATACAAAATACAATAAACATGTGTTTTCTAGGCTATATAATATGTATCAAGTGTCACTTACACATTGTACAATGAGTAATATAGCAGTCAGTTTTTACAACTTTAACTTTATTAGTCAATAAAACCTACTTTCAGTGGATAAACTACTTGACATAGAATATTCAACTTTGACTACTACTGAATATAGAGTAATGCAAGTGCAATGACTCAGAGAGTATACATATAGAAATTCATGCACAATGTGCATGTGCAGGGTCTATATATTTAGAAAGAGGGGGGGGGGGGTTGTTGAAAGATGCTTGGAAATATAAAAGGCACTTCAGGTACTCTGCATATATCCATCTTGGCCTATATCATTAACATGAGGCTAATCGGAGAAATTGGGCTATAATCCCTACTTAGACTAGGCCATAATTCTTAGATTAAGCTATCAGATTTCCAGGTGAATGGATGTGAATCATTACAGTATGCTCCCTCTGTATACCATCTTGTTTCCAACATCTATTCATAGCTACCCTATACTATCCAAGAATCAATACCCTTTGCAAAAGAGACCGGTAATATTCATTTCATACTCTTAACATAACATGAACTCAACCAGCCAATCATATTGTGTCATCCCTCAAAGAATGATTCTGTTATAAACATACCAAGTGTGGTTAAATGCTCTTAGATTAGTTATATGCTAAATCGTAAGATGATCTCTCAAAGTAAGAGGTTGGGATACTACCTGGTGAGTCCAGGGTAATGCATAACATCCCCTACTACCCTCTACCCATGTCAAGATGGTCCTGTTTCTACTACAAATGATAAGTCATGTATTTCTACATGATGAGATATAAGTATGCCCAGCTGCAGCCTCTTGTTATCATTCAAAGATATAAGATTGAGATAAACCATTAGATCAAATGTTTTGTCTTGCATGGAGATGATTCCTGGAAATATATAGTAGAACATGCAATTGCAAAGCTGAACATCATTAGTAAAACACACTTGCAAGTCAAACACTCCTATAAGTCAATCACTCCTGTAAGCAACACATGTGCAAGTGAAACATGTCTATATAATAAATGCTTTTGTAAGGCAAACACCTACTCTATGGCAAACACCTCTGGAAGTCAAAAACCCTATAAAGTAAAGCACTTTCTTGAGTAAAACAACTCTTAAATTGCAAAAGGCCTACAGAAGGTCTAATTCAAATACTCTGTATTTCATTCTCAAATGTTGTGCCCTTTCCAATTTTCAATTTAATTCTTTAAATAAAAAGAGCTTTATCTGATGAACAAGGATATGATACTCTGGTATATCAAATGCCTACAATTCTACCTTCAAATCAAACAGCTAAAATCCATCAAAAAACATAACATTTCCATTAGTTTAACAACTCTATAAAGTTCAAGGATCCAGTTTACTATATGATACTACAATATAATACAGTACTACATAGAAGTATACTATAGAATAGTACTATTACTACATAACGCAGCAATATTCACTTTGAAGACAATGACATACAGTTAAACTTTCTCAAGGAGATGTACTTATTAAAGCACTTCATAATTAGCAAAACATTATTTTGTAGTATTCCATGAGTATTACCATAAGAAAACACTCCAAATATACAGAAATATCATGTGAGAGATCACAACCATCTATCATTTATATTCAAGAAGGCCTATTGCTAGAGTTGGAAAACAGAAAGATATGATGAGTATCAGAATGCAAAAATATTAAGAAATATGAAACCCTGTACCACATATGACCAGAGAACAAAGAATGCACTTGAAGAACTTATATCCTGTCTTTCAAGTTAATACATATAGAAAATAACCCTTGTCTAAATAAGAGAACCCTGTCCCTTGTCTTGATCTAAAAGAACCATCCTCTGATATCCCTCAAACCTCTTATGTCTCAATAAGTTCTTTAATTAATTGATGTGTTTGATACACTACAATAACTACTTTACTTACTGTACATGTACATCTGCTTTTCATAGTTGTATTGATGCTCCATTTTAATGTCTTTAAACTACTAAACACAAAATGTTAAACTGTACTCTTTACATCCTAAAAGTTGATGGCTATACATCAGACTCTTATTCAAACATACTGTACACTTGTTCACAGATTTTAAAGATTTTTGATAGGGTCACATTTCACTCATGAATCATCCAACTATCAAGTGTTTAAATCAGATTTTGAGGTTTTGAAAAATTGATCTTTTAAGATCATGTGGTTGTAAACAAACAGACCCACACATACTACACATGAATATGACTTTTACAACATTGTATGTGGGATATAAATGTAGAGGAGCACTTCTGAATACTTTAATGGCTTTGTAAGTGTTAAAACACTTCCTATAGCATAAGGGGGTCTATTGGGATATAGTCCATAATAAAATTACTCACAAATCTAGGTTATGAGATAGTAAGATGTACATAGCCCTAAACAACATAAGGTATTTTGTTTTTGACATCTCGTGTAACATATTGGGTATGAAGTAACTTCAGAACATAAGGTAAACACATGTTTAAAAATGAATATAATAGGACAGTGATAGACTGGCATGTGATATTTCATCTGTATCTATCAGTTTCAAAACACAATGTGCAATATGTGGATTATTATAACATGTTTAAGACAACTTGACTCAAAACATAAAAAATTAAATCATTATTTAAAAACGCATCCATCATTTAAACGCAAATTCATTAATGATAATAAAAGGAAATATAAATGCAAATATGAGTCCAACGTTCGATACCATTACCATTAAGTTTAAAATGACTTGATGCATTTTATTAAAAAAAAGAAACACAAAGGTATACTCCATGCCATATACACTTCTTTTTTAAGTGTCTTATCCATTCAATTCAATAATATGTACCTTTAGCAAGTAAATTCACTTTGACATGCACAAGGTTTTACAGGTCAAGATTGTGCATGAATACTTCATAATAAACTCTTTCATCATTTACATTTTTTACAACTCTATTGAACTAAGCTTTAGAACTGAATATTTATTTTGTCTGCGTGTATCACTTAATTCAATACAAATACTTAAATGGAGACTGAATGTAGATTGAGATAAACAAGAATCTCTGATAGAAAACCAGTTTTAAATGAACTTTATTGTATGTTTGTAAGATAGATGTCACTTGGGTTGCTAACCTCTATACTCTACATACTTTAATGAGAGTAACATACAGTGAACGAGGGAGGATTTTTAAATCTTCATTCACAAGGTTTCAGTCGCTCCTGTAAAAAAAACCTCCTTAGAACTAATAGAGGGGGAGGGGTCTTTATCCAATCACCTTCAATATGTAAAGGATTTATTTGACAAGATCTAAGATATCATGTAGGATTGTTCCCTCTTCCAAGAGTATTGCTACAGGTATATCTTTCTCCAGTTATGGATATCCTTATAGCTCATAATCCATGGATTTATTTCTGTCCAAACCTTATTTCACCCCTTGACCATCCAGGGTAAAATATTTTACCAATCTTCACCTTTGATAATCATGATAAGACTGAGATATTCAGGCCAAAATGTGAAGCTGTTTATGTAAGACATTTCAGATGCAGGCCCGTAGGGGGGAGGGTTTGAACCACCCCCCCCCCTGGCCAAAAATTCTTTCAAAATCATGCAGTTTTTCACCATTCCGAGCACTTTTTAAGTGATTTTGGCCAAAAAAGTGAACCCCCTGGAATTTCCAAAAAGTGAGCCCACCCTTGGCAAATTCTGGCTACGGGCCTGAGATAGCTACATTTACATATATGTTCTATATGTATAGTTCATCAATGAAAAATTGGGTTGGTTAGCCTGAACACTGAGAATAATCCATAGTCTAGTTAGAATGTGTTCCCACTAGAAAACCATTTGCGCCCACTTGAAAATGAGAAAATCATGAAAAATATCATTGCACCCATTTAAGAATCCTGGAAAAACTGAATTTAGGAAGTGTTAACTTAAAGAAAATTTATTGTATAAGTATATGGTATAAAGGTATGTAAAGATCATACCTGTCAACTGCTAGCAATACATGACATTTGCAATTGCTTTTCATATCTAAACAACTTGTAAATTTTTTACATTCCTCAAGAATGTTTCTCTTTCATAGAACACCAAGCTTGTCCACTATTAATGGGAACTTGAAAATCAGAGAGCTGTAATAAAGAAAATACTGTACCTCCATTACATTTATCAATGCCATCCAAGAAACTGTGGAAAACAGAAAACAATGAATGTCAGAATAAATGTGAGTTGTCAACAAAATATTTTAGCCAGGGGTTAGTTGTCAACACTTTGCCATACATTGTCAGCAAGTCATTGTTAGCAAATAAAATGTGTAGATAGTATATACATGCATCTAAGGTCAAGCCTCCATTAGTTAACAACTCTCTGCTCTTTCAAGAGTCTCTACAGAGCAGCTCTAAAATTCATCGGTTTGTGATCAGATTGCAGGTTTGGCAAGGGGTATGGTTCTAGAACTGAGGGGGGGTATAGGGATGGATGGAATACTATTGTTTTGTGAATTTGCAATATGACACCTCTGATGCATTTCCTATTATCTTTTAAAATGGAACATTTTATTTTATGAGCCAGTGCCTAATGAAGTATAATACTCATATAATGCCCATTTTGAATATGACGGGACAAAATACTTGTATATCTTATTCTCCTACCACAACGTATATGTGGGTAGTAGTGGGAGAACAAAGTGGGTGGATACTCATACTCAATCCCTATCAAAAATCTCAATCTATGACCATTCATGTGTAGAAATGAAAAATAAATAGCGTCACTTACTTGATGAGGTGGATTTCTTGGTGGTAGTTGTGGTCTCATTTATCAATGCATCCAGGTCAAAGTCTCCAGTGGATCCCGCAGGGTACTTGGGCTGAGGCCTGTGGGTAGTGATCTCCTCTGTAGTGTAGCTATAGCCAGATGAACCAAGGGGGGTACGCTGGATTGGCAGTGGAGCCTTATCACGGTCATATGTCAGATCTGAGTTCTGACGTTGAAGCTGAGAGTTTTTCGTCCAATCAGTGGAGGAACGACTACGAGCGACTGCCCCCCTGCTGCTGCTCCTTTGGGGGATCAATGGGGACCCAGGAGCGCTGTTATTACGGCCAGGTATCGGTGAGGGAGGGGGCTTACCATATGTTTTAGCACCATTAGATTCATTCTGATTGCGCTCGAGAGTTGAGCCTTTGATCATAAATGTGTACTCTGTTTTAGAGGGAGTAGGACTGAAAGGTCGACTTTTATCTACCTCAACACCAGACACGTAATAGTCTTTCTGTGCTTTGTATGTATTGCTATTATGGTCACTTTGAGGGGCTGACTGGGTCATGGGGCCATTACTGACCTGCACATTGGTTCTGTCTGCTAATACAGCTTGGTCACTCTCACTTGCCACACGTTTACGGGCAATCTTATTCTGAACATCGACAAGCTCAGCAACGAGGGCTTTCTCTTGATAACTGTGTTGTTTCCTGAATTGAGGGGGTGCGTTGTAGTCTCCACCTCGCTTCTGAGCCAGTTTCATCTTTTGTTGTTCCAGCCATGATTGCTCTTGCCATGACTCTTCAGATCTGTTCTCATAACCAACAGAGTAGGGTACAGAGTTGAGGTTAGGGCTAGTTGGGCTCTTCCTCCCGAGAGGGCTAGGTGAACGTTTGGGGCTGTTCGCTCTGAAGGTGGGGCTTGTTACCCGCCCCCCTGCTTCATCCAGACCCCCTGATGTATAACTAAATGCATTCTGGGGGATATAGCGTCTAGGGCTTGACTCTACATGTGGTTGGTGAGAGCCCTCTATAGGTGGCTGAGCAGAACTGGAGCTTGAAGAGTAATGAGAGGTGGACTTCACTACCTTTGACTCTGATTTACTACCAGGGCCCATTTGACTACGATTTTCATAAGATGTTGTTTTATCCATTTTGCTAGAGCCATCTGGGGCTGTATATGAATAGTGTTCAGTACGCCTAGTGTTTGGGGGTAAGTCTGAGGGCATAGCTAATGAGCGGTTGGGACTTGTAGGACTCAACTGCCACGCTGTTGCATTGGCCCCTGTACTGCTTTTCATAGTGTTCATAGGGGAGGTAGATAGCATTTGATCTCCTAAAAGTTCACTTAAAATATCATCAAGCTGCGATGATTCCTCTGCTAATGTACTTGAAGGGCTTGTTTGCTGTTGCCCAAGGGTGGGGGGACTGTGGGGCAGGGCAGAGGCCTGTTGACTGCTGCTAGACTGTGTTGTATAGTTCTGGGTGCTGGTTTGGTAACTATGGACTGTATGGGAACCACCTTGGTAACTAGGGTAACCTGGAATAATCAAACAACATTTAATGCAAACTGTAATAATACAAATTGGTAACAAGTAAAAATACAACATGAATAATATTTATTTATAGTTGTTTATCTTAGTTTACACATATACATATATTACTGTTACAATATATTACCAATAATCCAGAATAATCAATGAAGTCTATTCAGTGTCAACATTCTTATGAAATGATTTTGAAATGAAAAGAGAGGATATGTTTTAACTCCAATTATTTGAACTTTAACAAGAATGCAAAGAAGGTTGTGTGAAAAGATCTCCATATAGTATACATATTTGCAGTCATATAAAACATTCAGAAACACTGTATTGATCAATAAAAACATGAAGTAAATGTTGTGGGTGGAACGCTGCTGAATGAAAAAATATTAACATGCAAAAAGGCTAAAGAAAAAAGCAAGATTTTATTACAGAATGACTATAATAAAAATTAATGACTGACAGTTGAATATGTATGATTGCGTGCCAGTCCCCAGAATATAGAAAGCACAATCCATAAAAAATCAATATAATGACCACAAAATAAATGCTAGCGTAAATTGTTTTTTTGTAGTAAAGTGAGTATTATTTGCTGAAATGATCAAGCATTGTAGATCACTACCAGTCCTTGAACTACATGTGATCGATCATCTTCTCCACAATGAACTAAACTTGTCTTCTATTTTTGCCTCTTACTGAACATTATATAACCTGCTGTCAAAAATGTGCTTAACATCGTGAACAACTGTTTTCCTATAATGATAAATCGTGGAAATATTGGAAGTTAGTATCCCCATGGGAGGGAAGGGAAAGGTTAAGACAATAAACTGCCTCAAAGCATACTGAGAACTGGAAACGAAACTTCAATTAAACGTCAGGGAAATATTTCAAAGAAACGTAATCCTCCAGGAATTGAACATGAACGAGTAGTTTTATAGCACTGGAGTCAGGCTGTAACAACCAATTGAGGTCTGGATGGGAATATCCATGTAAAATATGTCTCCCATGAAAAACTTGAGCAGGTTACTTCTACCTCCTCAAACACGGTAATTGGTTTAACTCCAGTAAAACCTGTATAACCAAACAACTCTTTTATCTAAATATCTTTTAACGTAATCCAAACTCTTTAAGCTGGTCCCAGTGTCATTTGGATTAGACAGGTTTTACTGTATTGTATATCATTGTATCCAGGGATAGGTAATAGGTATGTATTTTCCTAAACAAATACACAGAGGTTGAAGTGTTTGGCCATCCTGGATTACCATATTGTTAGTTAGATAACTGTTAGCATGACAACTGGCACTGTACCAAGAGATATATCAAGATTCTTATTTATGTTCATTGTGCTTAGGGTGCTTAAGATGAATGATGGGTCTACCTCCCCTCCCCATGGGAAATATGGGTCTACCTTACCGATTTGCCCCAACCCTTTCTATTAATTGTATATTTGTTTGTATTTATGAAATAAACCCATTGATTAAAAAAAAACTAAACAAGGCACAGACGTGAACAATATCGTACCTAAAACACAGCATTGTGGTCTTGTTGACCAAGAAGCAAGATGGCCGCAGAAAGGTTAATTAGCTCTAGAACTTATCACTGTGTAACATATGTAAAAATTTGAACGGTTTGGCTGGAAACCTGTACACAAGTCTTGAAAGTGAAGATTTTAGGACGGAAAATCCAAAATGGCCACCTTAAAATTTACCCAGAATGCCCAAAAACCAATCAGTTCTTGACGTTGATGTGTAGAAACATCCCTGAAAATTTCAGATGAATCCCTCAAATGGTTTGGCTGAAAATCTGTAGACAAGTCTTGAAAGTGAAGATTTTAGGACAGAAAATCCAAAATGGCCACCTTAAAATTTAACCAGAATGCCCAAAAACTAATCAGTTCTTGACGTTGATATGTAGAAACATCCCTGAAAATTTCAGATGAATCCCTCAAACATTTGGCTGGAAACCTGTAGACAAGTCTTGAAAGTAAAGATTTTATGACGGAAAATCCAAAATGGCCACCTTAAAATTTACCCAGAATGCCCAAAAACTAATCAGTTCTTGACGTTGATATGTAGAAACATCCCTGAAAATTTCAGATGAATCCCTCAAATGGTTTGGCTGAAAACCTGTAGACAAGTCTTGAAAGTGAAGATTTTAGGATGGAAAATCCAAAATGGCCACCTTAAAATTTACCCAGAATGCCCAAAAACTAATAAGTTCTTGAAGTTGATATGTAGAAACATCCCTGAAAATTTCAGATGAATCCCTCAAATGGTTTGGCTGGAAACCTGTAGACAAGTCTTGAAAGTGAAGATTTTAGGACGGAAAATCCAAAATGGCCACCTTAAGATTTACCCAGAATGCCCAAAAACTAATAAGTTCTTGACGTTGATATGTAGAAACATCCCTGAAAATTTCAGATGAATCCCTCAAATGGTTTGGCTGGAAACCTGTAGACAAGCTGAAAAGTGAGACGCCGCCCGCCCGTCAAGCTGACTACAATATCGTACCTTTTGTTAGGTACGATAAAAAAACTTCCCCTCCTGCAAATATTTTGGGTCCAACTCCATCCATGCATGTCAAATAACCTATCATCTGTTTAATATTTATCTTAGGGTTGATTAATAACAATAACCCAGATGCGAGTAGAAATAATCTTACTTTACGTCATTAAAAATTCAAAATTCAGTCAAAATAATATCATATTTGAAATCTACATGTAAAATTACATCTAGAAATATGGTTTTAAAAAGTGTTTATCAACTTTGAAAAATTAATTTTCTTTGAAAATGTGACTTCTAGCTCGGGGAGATTCCCCATAGACCCCATGCTATAAAATCACAAAAAATGAAATATCTTTTCTTTTAGTGGACAGATAACATTTTGCTTTACTGGACATATTTTCATTAGTATAAGTATCAGACGCATAAGGGTTATATGAAAATTGAGCCACTTAAATTGATAATATTCAAGTTTAAGGGAACTTTCTTATATACCTGCCATGTTAATTGACCCGAATCAGCCACCTGGTGGTGAAACTGGTAACTACCTACTCGCATTTGGGTAATTGTGGTTTACTTTTCCAATGTAAATGTTTCATGAGCAATTCCAAATGCCTTCAATTCAAGTGATATTACATTCTGCAGAGTTATTGCCATCACAATTTTGAGAGAAATTATTAACTACACACCATAATATTAATAACTACCCAATAATGAGTAGGTTATAATCTGATTCGCTAATTATATCACATGACCAGATGAAGGAATGCTGGGACATTGCATTTAGTAAACCCAACCAAGGGAGGAAACAGGTTATAAAGCATTGACTTTTCAAGCAATTTCCTCAGTTTTCAACAAACTTTATCGAATCAGTCATTTAATTACAATTGTAGTTTGAGCATTTATTTAGGAGACCAACTCATCATGCTAATGTAAACAGAAACTAACTTAATTCTCCTTTCAAATTACAAATGTGCTTTATATTGTCATGAATTCCTCTAGCAATCAAAGTGAGCAAAATGATCGAACTCAAGCAATATAAACACTCAATACATTGGCAACCATTCATTAAGAAAATACTTCAAAATATAATACAGGACTTTATACAATCAATACAAGAAATGGTTTCTGCGGTCTAAAGAATCCAATAATAATTGATTTCGGTCATGGCCCAATTCCATGGAATGTTACCACTAATGTTTTCCTCTATGGAACAAGTAACTGAATGAACACAGGGGGTAATCCCATGATCTCCTAAAGGAGAGCAGGAGAGGTTTAATCATTTCCTCATGTTATTCTCTTGAGGCACAGGCACAGAGCCTAGTCATCTAAACTATTATAAAGGGTTATGTGTTACTAGCCCCTCCATATTCTCTCATACTAGATTGGGGATTAGGTAAGGGGATTAAGGGAGATACTAAAACCTTAATTCTAAAGATAATTAGAATTAAAAACATAACAACAGAATCTCCTTTAATCAAATGAACCACACTAAATCCATTCTTATATCAAGTTTTTCTTATTTGAGAGCATATCTAAAACATAATCATATTTGAAATCACATCAAGCACAGAGCCTAGAGATGAAAACGAAATAAAATTTGTGAGTCCATATCTTATTACAGTTAATCAAGGAATCAAATAAGCAACTGAGTTCTATCAAAATAAATCGATCAATGTCAAAATATTACATAATATTTAATTATAAAAATAATTTTCCAAAATGCAAGATATCATAAGGCACCTTGTACCTTTAAGGGGGGGTCCTTAAACTTCAGCACCAATTTTTAATAACCCATTTTGATATGTTAGCCCCCACCCTACCCTTAGTAAATAAATTGATATGGCAACTCTAAAGGGGGCTTCCATTTGAAATATTGACACTTCTAGCTTGTGGATCAACATCTTTGATATTCACACTTTTAGTAAAGAATGGCCTTTACAACTCACTCTCTCAGTAGCTGTCACATTAGCGATACGGGCTCACCGTTCACCACTGTGCAGCTAATTTTTGTTTTTTGTGCATTGGAGATATCCATGCTGTAAAGCTGTTTGTTTTAACCACCATGTATCTATGCCGTACCCTGCCTAAAAGTATTCACATGGTGGCGAATAGTGAGCCCACATGTCCTAAGTGTGACAGCTCCATAAAGGAAAGCAAATCCCTGTAGAAATGCAACAATTCCTTACCTGGAGAAGAGGCTATTCCTGAGTCTACACTGACAGTTAGTGGCCCATTGAGCAATGAGGTGTTACCATTCTGGATGACTGTGGATGAATCTTTCTCCCTATGGGGTGGTTTCTTTGTGACTGTGGCGTAGAGACTGCCGTCTACAGGGCCTTGGGTATGGTTCACCTCAATCCGACCATCCACCTTAGAGCCTGAAATACAAAGGGTAGAATATTGAATTGTCTGTTGAACAAAGTCAATATGTCGATAGATGATAGTTTTAAGGAGCCCATTCCCGGGGAGCCCATTAAAACCCAATTATATATATATATCTTTTATTGACTCTCTGATGTCATTGCAATGACATATTAGTCACTACAAACTACAATATACAAAATTAAACTAAGACTAAACTAACTACTTCATAGGAAATATACAAAGTTGTAAAATACAATTACAGCATCACAAAATGTAAAATACAAAAATGAGATAATTGTAAAATACAGATACAACATGACAGAATTTAAAACATCAGTGTGATGTATCATTGTTACAATATTAATCCAGTTTTTTGAATGAATGATAAATGAACTTTGCTAGATGTAAAATTACATAAGAATTTTTATTGGACAAAAGCTTTTTGAAAATAAAGTTAGGACTTCCTACAAAATTAAATTGCGTAAGGGTGTCAAACAAAAGTTTTCTCTCTGTTGTATTTTTCTTACACACCATGATAAAGTCTTGTTCATCTTCTAAAATACCACACATATTACATAAACGTTCATCCAAAGGTCTTGGCTTAGGCTTCAAATGACGACCAATTTCTATATGTAATTTGTGTGAACTAAGCCTAAATCTACTTATTGCTTGTCTGTAGTTTTTATTTTGTATATTTAAATAACCCTCTCTTTCAAAGACATTTTTGAATGTTATGTAAGTTCTTAAAATTCTGATACAGTTTTTTTGTTATCATCTTGATAAAAAATATAATCATCAAAATTACTAATATTGTTTTTTCCAATTTGAAATATCAATGTTAAATTTTTTAATAATCTGTTTTATTCCATAATAACATGTTTTCCCTGGGAAAATAACAGGGAATAAAAGTGTTATTTGAAAAATCCCGTATCAGATCCCGTATCAGCCAAAATCCCGTATCAGATCCCGTATTGGATCCCGTATCAGCAAAAATCCTGTATCAGATCCCGTATCAGAAATATTCCCGGTAATTTCTCTTGAGTTTTACGCTTTTCGTCTAGCACATCTCTACAGGAAGTAAAAAAATCGTTTGGAAAATTGAAATTATTGAAATTATTATCATCTAGTTTACGTCTATTACTGTGACAAAGGTCTATTACTGTCACAAATATGTCTAGGTATGCAACAGAGGATGTTGATGACTTCATTAAAGGTCAAGAAAATATCAATACTTCGAAGAAAACTAAAAGTGACATAAAAATCCTAGTAGATTTTTTACGGAGTGAGAGGAATGAACTCAGACCGATCGAGGAGATAGATCCCCATGATCTTAATGACCACCTCAAACATTTTTTCATTAACATAAGAAAGGAGGATGGTGCAGAATATCAACCATCAATCTTAAGAGCTTTTATGAGCAGCATCGCAAGATATCTCAAGGATAAAGAATACATGGAAGATTTGCTGAAGTCCATCGTATTTGATAAGTGCCGAAAAATATTATGAAATAAATAGGTTATTGATGGTCGTGATGGAATATGGATTTATTCCTTGAGAAAATATGATATTGGCCTCAGAAAATATCATATTGACACTCGGGCTATCGCCCTCGGTCAATATGATATTTTCCTTGGCCAATATCATATTTTCCCTCGGATTAAAATCCATATTCCATCCCTCCCATTAAATAACCTCTATTTATTCCATCATGTTATTATACAATTGTAGTTAAAATGCTGCGAGAAGGAAATGGTTCAAACTGAAACATAGATGATTGGATTTTGATATACCATTAAAAATATTGCCTCGTACCTCAGTTTTGGCACTTTCCAGATGCATTGAGATGGTATTTACGAGAGTTGAGATTCAATTTATTTATCAAGTTAACCACTAATGTAGATAGTTTAAGAACGTGGCAACTGATCTACACAATCGTATATATTACTGGTTATATACCAATAGTACATTACATGTATATACAGATGAAGCTTTCTTTTAAATAAGCAAAATACGTCAAACCATTGGAATGGGTGGCACATGTCTTAACACAGGGTGTGTTCTTAAAAGTTATTGAATGCCCAATGAATCTGTCGACCTAATTACCAACACCTACAGTCCATATATACATTAATACATACCTAGCATTGAAATAAATCACAACTACTTACATGGCACATTGAAATAAAAATTAACTCCATTCTGATCTTCATAACTTCTTTTATACATTACTCTAGAACTTGATCTCTTGAACCTAACACATTGGAATCTAACTGCACATGTTTGTGATGCTACACATAATGATCTTAGATAATTAGTATGATTACAGGACTTTAAGATAACAGGTGTTGACAAACATGAACATGGGGCTATAAATCAACCTATATCCACATGTTTTTTATGTAGACTACATAGAATAATGTACTGATGTTTATATGTGTTTATCATCCATTTGAAGGTTGTGATATATTTAACAAAATAGGAACTCATTAAGACTGGAATAAAAAAAATTGTAAAAATATTTTCTTTCTCAGAGGGATGCCATAAACATAAAACATGAGTTATTTTCTTCAATTTGACATAGTGAGCCCATGAGGAAAATTATAGCAAGGCTTATATTATGTTTCTGTTTTGCATTGTTTGATTGGTGATTCAAAGCAATTCATTTAGATTAATGAACACAACAAATATCCAAAAAACCTTGCATGTAATTGATTTGTGAATTTAGTGCCATGAATTACTGGATAGAGGAACTCCTGCGAATAATTTGTGCTACAGTTTTAATGAGTTCTTACATGGGCATTCTGAAGCCCATGGTTCTTACAATACAACAACCTTGTCTATTTGGTGTTAAATCCTGGTACCAAGAAAGCATCGTATAATGAGGAATTCACAGATGTAAGCAAACATCATCTCAACTATGTAAAGTATTCTCACCATGTAACGATACATCATCACAATCACATAAAGCAATCAGTGACGTTTATCAATACATAAGAGAGCCAGGTACGCTAGAATCTGATGCACAGCTATGAGGCAAGAATGACAGGTATGCCCTGTGATCTTAAAACCAGTCCTTCATGTCTGATTTACACATTCTCCTGAACAGTGAATACAGACTTAATGTAATCTTTTTCATTTCATTATTGCATTAGGAATTGCAAGGGTGTGTAATATTCTGCAAGTAATTTATAATATCATTGTTTTTATAAAGGCAAGCGTATTGGAGCAGTATGAGAATGAAAACATTGTGCCCACTTCAATTAATTAAGAAAGTAATACCATAAGGGTGTCTTTCAGCAAAGTAATTGAGATGCAAACCACATTCAAGTTGATTTGTAGCCCCCTTGAGCTATTAGGCAAAAACAAATATTTCTAGCTTTGAAATATGTCAAGGTAACTCAATGTAATTATAGTTTAACATCAACAACTTTTCTTTCTGGGTTACTAGCTTAGTTAAAGGTACATCACTGCTTCAATGAATGATTCGCAGTATAATTATGGCATGTGAAGTTTTTCATTTCTACATTCATAGATTTTAATTTCTTACATTGCTCAATACTGAATCTTCAAGTTAGAATAGATGAATAGATTTCACCCTTTCCAGAGCTTGAATATATCTATACTCTTTCAATAAGAGATCATTATTTGATCTAGCTTATGCCCAATCAGGTTAACATAGTCTTTGATTTCTACTTATAAGTTACATGTAACTTTCACATAACAAAATTGATTTCAATGAAGCATCCATATCATAAAATCATTTATACGCAGAGGGCAGTATTACCACATAGATAACAGGGTAATATTCAATAGTTGGAAGATGAAGGGTCTGAGTCTTGTTAGATGTTATTGACAAATATATGGTGACATTTCTGACTTCATTCACTATAAATACATTTGCAAACATCTCTTTGCTTTCTGTCAATATTTGCCAACTGGACGTGGGTACAACAAGGAAAGGCTTGTGTGTGTGAACTTATGGATGTTTTTGTAACTTAGTACAGTTTTGTGATTAATCAATAGTCCCATTGGTCTTTCTCTTCTTTCTTCAAACCTCTAGCCTAAATATTTAGGCCTTAATCAAGTCAATGTGACATTAATCTGACTTATAAAATAATTAATTAAGCTTTACTTTTTTGTGTCAAGTTACCCTTTGTAAGAAATCACGTTTATCTGCACTCTTAAAATTAAAGACAAGTCTCAGAACAAACTTACTTAATCTTCTTCCTATAAGTAGCTATATCTAACTCAAAGTACAGGCCATAAACATCTACATTTGAGATAGTTATGATTTACATGTAATCAGTATCAGTACTGTAATGTCATACTAGTCAGAGGGTCATATGGTTAACTGGTGCCGATCAGGGTATATACGAGAAATGTCAGAACAGCTAGTTTCATTCTTCAAGTCAAAAAGGAATTGAAAGCAGGCAGATACATAGAAAGAGAGAGCAGATGGCATTGCCACCCAGTCATCGCTGACACAAAAAAACATGAAAAAATATTATTGAAACCACATTGCATGGTGTATACTGTAGACTTCCTAGTTATACAGTAGTTGTATAAAAGAGTGGCAAGGGCCATTATCATTTCATCCTGGAATACTTCAGTTTTTTCTCAAATTGTATTCAAATTGATAAACAGTTTATTAAGGAAGGAGTGCCTTGATTGAAACAAACAGTTGCCTCAATGTCAATGTCATACACTTCACTTTTGGCAATGGACATGGAAAAACTGATTGCCTGTTGGATAACAGAATGATTGTCCATGTGGTTTATTGTATCATGTTATGAAACTCAGTCCTGAACACTGGCCTAGCCTTTAACTGAGATGACTGTTCTCTTTATTTGGATGGCCATTTTCTGATTTTGTCCTTCGTGAACTTAAACCTTTATATCATTTATAGGACATTACCATAAACAGATTTAAAATTAAAATACAGTGTATACCATCTAGCAGTTTTTCCATGGATTAATATCAATACTCCCCTCCCTGGGCATAACTGATGATGGTG